TCAAAAAAAAAAAAAAACAGAAAAGAAAAACAAAATGAGAGTGAACCCTATACCATAACATATATCAGCTCAACATGAATTAAAGAGTTAGATATAGAAGGCAAAATTACAAAACTTCAGAAGATAATATAATATAATAAAATATATTTAAGTCCTCATCAAAGATATATTTTGGGCTCGGTGCCTGTGGCTCAAGCGGCTAAGGCACCGGCCACATACACCTGAGCTGGCAGGTTCGAATACAGCCTGGGCCTGCCAAACAACAATGGCAGCTACAATCAAAAAATAGCCAGGTATTGTGGCGGGTACCTGTAGTCCCAGCTACTTGGGAGGCTAAGGCAAGAGAATTGCTTGAGCCCAGGATTTGGAGGTTGCTGTGAGTTGTGACACCACAGCACTCTACCTAGGGCGAGCTTTGAGGCTCTGTCTCAAAAAAAAAAGATCTATTTCTTCAATAATGCACAAAAGACATAACTATTTAAAGGAAAATATCAATAAATTTAATTTTAGTAAAATTAGCAATTTCTGTTCCTCAAAAGAAAGTAATAAAAATCCAACCCATAAACAAGGAGAAGATATCGGCAACACCTATACTAAGGAATGATTAGTCTCTAAAATATATAAAGACTTCCTATAAATCAATCTGAAATGAATGAAAATATAAGCAAAAAACTAAATAGGAACTCCTTAGAAGAATAAACACAAATGGCCAATATACATATGAAAAGATGTTAAACATGATTAATAATCAAGAAAACACATTAATAGCATAAGATAGCATCTTATACCAATTAAATGGCAAAGTTTAAAAGTCTGATGATTTCAAATGTTGATAAGGAGGTAGAGCAACAGGAATTCTTTTGCCTTGCCAGTAGGAGGATAAATCATAATTTCTTGGGAAATCTATTAGACATCATCTGGTAAACCTAAAAAAATGCACAGTATGTTGAATTCAGCAACTCCAGTTCTAGAAATATATCCTAGACAGCATCCTGCACACATGCAATAAGAGACATGGATAAGAAAGTTCCTAGCAGTGTCATTCATAACAGGAAAAAAAAAAATCTCCTAAAGTCTATTCACAGGAAAATAAATTACGGAATATTTATATGATTAAATACTTAGGGCAATAAAAATGAATAAAACCTCAGTTACTCTTATTAACATGAAGGAATCTCAGAGATATAATATTGATCACACATAGTAAGTTCTAAAAGAATACAGTATGATAACATATATACATATAAAATTTCCAAACATGCAAAAATAAATATATTATTTAAGGATATATATGTGTATAGAAATTATGAGTAGCATAAATTTTATAATAATTGATTATGGAGGGGAGAAAAGAGGATAAGATCAGGAAGAGCTGTGGGGAAAGAGACAGGTTATGTTCTACTGTATTTTGTTAGTTTTGAGGAGCCAATTTTTTCTTCACATTTTAACATCTTTGAAGTAAGGATGTGTCTTACAAGCTGTAGCATCTTAAAATCATGCTTGGCATTAATTTTTCTTTTTCCATGGTATGTAAAATAACGGTGTGACTTATAAACAATGAATTTGATAAAATATGGTTAGAAATATCCAACTGTACACTGATATAACTATATGGCAGAAATATCAGCATACAGTTTATTTTTTAATTACTTATCTCTTATAAATATTATTATATATTCAATGTAGAATAAAAATGAGTTACAATAGCATATGATCATGGGTCACATTAATATAGTAAGGAGAAGATTAGGCATAGGGACAAAACTAGACAGGATTAAGAATCTAGATGGTGATGGCATTTTGAAGATAAAGGTGGTAAGCGGAAGAACAAGAGCAGATTTTAAGATAAAATTAGAGATAAGAGTAACAGCCTTAGCAATCAGGATAGTGTGAGGGAGAGTCTGAAAGCTATTTGGTTCTACAGTCAAAAAGGACAAGAACAGGAAGGACAAGAACAGGGGTGAAGGCAGGGACGAGGCTCCAGAGTAGCACTGTCCAGTAGAACTTTTTGCAAAGAAGGAAATTTCTCTATCTACACTACCCAGTGTGATAACCATGGCATACTGTGGTTACCGAACATTTGCAATGTGGCTGAATTTTAAACCTTTTAATTTTAACTAATTAAAGTTAAATAGCTCATGGCTACGGTTTGGAATGGCCTGGCTCTAGAGAGAATCCTTGCAAGAGAGGCTCCCAAACCCCAATGGAGGACAGGAAGAGGCACCAGCCTTGTATACTCACCAGCCACCATGAACAGAAGGATCCCAAAGCCCAGGACGTAGTAAGGCCACTGCACAAAGAACTGCGGGGGGCTGGGTTTTGTCCTCAGATTCTGGATCTCCAGGGCATGCAGCAGTAAGGCCAGGAAGGCACAGGCCCCTGCAGGGTCACAGGGAGGTGCCCTTGCTCTTCCCCCAGGCTTCTTGCCCTGGGTCCCACCTTCCTCAGACTTAAAGTCACATGAAGTAACAGCCCCTGCTGCTCCTCCAGAGGCTCCTTTATTCTGCATGGATCCCTTGCCTTCTCCAAGCAACAATCCTCACCCCACACGCCTGGCCCTCCCTCCTCTCCAACTCATCTCAAAGCCTCCCCTCCCAGGGGCCCATCTTCAGAATTCCTTCCCTGGTGCCCTCTGCATCCGTACTCTTGGCCCACTTCAGGTCTGGCCCTCTGAGTGTGACACTGGATGAAACACACCCTGACTCTCCCACTGTATGTATTCTACCTCCTCCATTTGCTCTGGGTCACCACTTTAAAATGTCAAAATGTTTCAAAGCGCAGAGATGGTCTTTTCCATTCATTCATTCAAGAAACATTTCTATTTCATTTATATGACATATGTCAATTATAATTCTAGGCTAGCTTCTATGACAGCACTGGGATAGACAAGTTATGGTAAAAAAGACCTGCCAAGGCTCGGCGCCTATAGCTCAACCGGCTAAGGCGCCAGCCACGTACACCTAAGGTGGCAGGTTCGAATCCCCAGCCTGGACCCGCCAAACAACAATGACGGCTGCAACCAAAAAATAGCCAGGCGTTGTGGCGGGCGCCTGTGGTCCCAGCTACTTGGGAGGCGGAGGCAAGAGGCTCACTTGAGCCCAGGAGTTGGAGGTTGCTGTGAGCTGTAATGCCATGGCACTCTACCCAGGGGGACAGCTTGAGGCTCTGTCTCAAAAAAAAAAAAAAAAACAAAGACCTGCCAAGCACACAGGGTCAGGACTGGCTAGCTGGAAATGGAATGTTGAAAAGTCCCAAAGAAGTGAAATCCTAAATTGTGAGAGGCAGGTGTGAGGGTGAGTTACTTCACAGAGACAGCAACAAAGGAGGGACCTTAAAAATTATGCTTCTCTTGACCCTCCCCCAGAGACCATCCATCCCCTCTTCCTCTGGACCCATCCCCAAACCCTGTCAACAGACAGGAACTGCCTGGCTGTTCCACACCTGTGAGAAAGCTGATGAAGGCTGACACAAAGTTGTACTTCCGGGTCCTTGGGAAGAGCTCAGATGCAAAGGACACCATGATGAAGGTGGTAAGGAAAGCCAAGATGACTGCAGAGAGCAGGAAAACCCGGCCAAGAAGGATGTAAACTGTAGAAGAGAGAGAGCTGGTGCTGGAGCTAGGGCCCCTCTCCCAAAGAGGGCAGAGCCTGATTAGGGCTGGCCCCTGGAGCCTCCACATCCTCAAGTCCCAAAACACAGCCATGGGACCAGGTTATAACCCGGCCACTTTACCCCCAAGAATGCTCTGGCCTCATCATTTTGTTCCCAACAACATGAAAGTATACAGAAAAAAAGATTAGACTGACAATATCAAACATAGAAACCATTCATCAGTTCTTAACATATAGTATTATATCAATCTGGTTGCATCAGACCAGGTGGGGAAACTATGTATCATCCATTAGGGAAAAGTGGTGGTTTTAAAAAACATGAAATCAAACTCTCATGATAAAAATTTGTTACATGTGCAGAAGTGAAAAATCCTATCTGAATTAACTCGCTCATGGAAAATCAAAATTTCCTGAGGTCAAAATGTTCTGAACTCTGGGCACTTCCACAGCCCTATTTAATTTTCCTGGTTAACAGGAGCAGTGAAACATTAAGATTAGCAGAGCCAGTGTTCGGTAGCAGGGTGACTTATTCTCCTACTGTTGGCATGAGGCAGACCCATGTCAAAAGGAGTTTGTACACCCTCTTGAGTGTGCAGAGATGGCCAGCTAAGACTGGGACAAAGGCAAAGGCACTGCAGAGGAAATTCAAGAATCTACCCTCAGGTTAAACAGTAGTTCTCAAGTGGGACTCAATTTTGTCCCTCAAATATTTGGCAAAGCCTCATAGATAATTTTAGTTAGCAAAGCCTGTAGCATCTAGTGGGTAAAAAAGGGCAGAGCATTACTAACCACCCTATAGGAAACAGGAAAGCCCCACAACAAAAATGACCCAACCCAAACATCAGTAGCTCCAGGTTAAGGAATCTTGAATCAAGGAGATCACACAGGCTGGCCCATAATACCTGGGGAGCTGCCACCTACAGCTGAGCAGGGATGTGGCCAAGGAGACAAGTAGGGACTGAAGTCCAGCCATTCTCTGCTAATTAGCCTGTTCCCTGGTTTGGAGCTGTGCCCATCCACCCAAAAGGGCACTGTCCATACAGACTAATCACAGCCATGAGAGCTGGTGTCACCTCCTCCTAGCTAGAACACTCCTAGAGTAGAAATAAACTGTTCCTGACATATCTGCTCTGACTCCAGTGGTTAACCTGATGTGGTGAACCAGCCTCCTACTTTCCTCTAACCCAAAGAGATTTGAGAGAGACATGGGGAAAATGCCTTCATAGGCTTACTAAATTTTATCTTCTCCGCTCCCAACCTGTCCCAGTCTTGCCCCAGCTCCCTCCTCACCCCCATCCCTCCTTACTGGATAAGGGTCGAGGCTTCCAGCACTTAATATGGAAGCAGTTCTCAAACAGGCCACTGAAAAACACTTCACTGGACTCCTCATTCATGAGCCGCACCCAGAAAGGAAAGATGGAGACCAGCAGCATGAGCAGGTAGCCCAGGGCAGCCAAGGCTGGGGCTATGGCCCAGGTGAATCCCTTCATGTCCTTGTCCTCTAACGTCAGCATTGCCTAGGCAAAGGGGAAAATGATAGCAGAGGTGGGGATATCAACCTGCATTCTCCTGTAGCACAGAGTAGAAGTGATAGGGGCTACTGTCACTGCTGCCTGGCCTTGACCCAGCTTTACCACTTTCTAGATCTGTCATCTTGAGGACTTTATCAAACTCTTAGGACCTTGGTTTCTACATTTCTCCGGTTTGTAAAGGGGAGACTATAACACCTGCCCAATAAGGAATATCAAAGTGTCCAGCACAGTGCTCAGCAATCACGTCCTTGGTTAAAGCTAGAGGGTAAGGCAGAGGGCAGACTGCTTCTAAAATTCAAATATCTTTGTGCGAGAAGGGAACAGTAGCCACTCACAACCTCAGGGCAAATCTTCAGTGAATTTGCTTTCCTCTCTGTGCTGACCCTGGCAGCTCTGAGAAATGAGTTTCCTGCAGCAGCCAGGGAGGAGCAGGGGAAGGAGAGAGGTGGCTGGAGCCAAGCTGCAGAGAGGATAGGCCTGTTTGGTTGCAGGCCTCTAGGTGGCATTGTGACCACCCTGGTTACCTAGCAGTGCATAAGAGGGCTTCAGGTGAAAGGAAGGGGGGGAGGGGAGGTGTGCACCCTGGCTAACAGTCCTTTGCAAAATCACAACCAGCTCAAGGCCTGTGTGACTCCTGCATATACAGGGCTGTGTGTAGCAGCACTGAGGTTTACAAGCTGTGCACAGCGACTACAGGAGCCAAGGCTCTGGGGGGCAGGAGGCTTCTCTTCCCTGCACCCTGGACAGTCAATGCCTAGCTACCTGACCCACCACCAGCCACCAATGGCCAGCAGTTCAGTTCAGTAACTCCCAAATCCGGAATCCTGTGAAGCCAGTGAATTCATTCTAAGTATGTCCATGTGCATGTGTGAAAAAAGGTGAGAGGCTGGGGGAACATGGGATTACATTTTTTTTTTAAATATGGGGCACTGAAAACAAACTGTTACCTCCTACTATTACTAACTGGTTTTTTTTTTTTTTTTAACTATTGCTTTTTAAATCACCTTTAAGTCTAAGGAGTAGATGAACTGATACTCCTAGTGCCGGGACCAGCACCTGGCATCACTGGCTTAGCTGCAGGTTCCTCATCACCGTCCCCACCCGGCCCCTTCCAGTCCCTACAGCCCTCCCTGAGACAGCTGGCAAATGCTGGGAAGGGGTGAAAAGGTGGGCGACCTAAAGCACATCCCAGGTTGGGAGCTGGAGGTGGCCCTGGAGGAATGTGCACCCCAGCAGTGCTTCTCCCCTTCCATTGTCCCTTCCAATACTTTGTATCAACTATAGCTATAAATGGACTCAGAGGTTACTTCCTGCTGACAAACTTTCCTCAGTATGGCAGGAGGCCACCCTCCCGTGCCCCCAAAGGCCAATTTCCAGACTCCAAGGTGGACCCGAGCTGGCCATCGGCCTTTAAACTCTACCTTGAGCGTCCACACTGCCAATCAGGCGACGTTTGGAGTTTGGGGGACTTCGCCACAACTCCCCACTACTCCCTCCCAACCTGTGAAGCTCCCTCCCTCCCACAGATGACCCACATCATTCCCAGATGACCAAAAATCGCTGTGTGGCTCCCCTGTCGGTCCAGTGCAGAGTTTCTCCCCAGGTCCTCTGGACCCCTTGTCCGCCCCTTCAGACGCAGGCGCGGTCCCGAGCTTAGGCGCTTCCGTTGGCTCCGAAACCCGGCCCTGAGCTCCGAGCTCCTCCCCCGCAGCCCCCGGACCCCAGAAGATGGTGGGGACCCGGCCCTCCCCACAGCCTGCTGCTCACCTGTCCACAGTGACCTGCCTGTCTGGTTTACTGGCAGTACAGGACTCACTCTCTGGGGGGAGGGGGACGGAGTAATCGCGAGATGAATCTGAATTCGATTTCAGCTGTGCCATTACCAGCTGGACGCCTTTGGGTAAATCACTTCTCTTTTCTGGCTCTCGGTTTACTCATCTGTAAAACGGATAAAAATAGTTACTCTTTCCGCTGGATTGTTGAAAGGGTCCAGTGATGTGCCTGACAAAGATTCCCGCACAGGGACAGTATCATAAAAACTGCAGCTCACATCTATCGCCTGAATAAACCCCAGTCTCTCTGACTCCCGGGGCGGGGCGGGTCATCCTCCTTCCCCAAGCCCAGGTAGCACCCACACCGCGCTCCACCCCCAGGCACTCTGGTCTGGGCGGGCCTGCCTGGTGCTCAGATTCATCGCTCCCTTCTCTACTCTCCTACAGGGCTGTCTGCCCTTCTCACCAACACCAGCGATATTGCACCTGCCCCGCAGGTTTCCAGTTTCTTCCAAGTGGACTCTGTTGGAGACAGGACTGGATTCCAATCCTGGGGTGAGGGTAGGGCACTGGCTCTAGTGACAAGAGTGGCGACTTGCCGCTGGATAAGTCACCAGTTCCCCTTGTTCACAAAGGAAATGCATTTATAACTCCTAAGATTTAAAAAAAAACAGGATCCCCTTATACCTCCTCACTAGCCAGAACATAGTAAAAGAACCTATCTTGTCAGAAGCAGTTGGGGTCCTCCTGGTCTGGCTCTCTCCGCTGATCTCAGAGACAGCTTTTATTTCCCCCATCCTTAGGCTTTCATTCTCCAGGGGGCAGAGGATATAGTCAGGAACAACTTTTAAAAACTCACATGGCTCGGCGCCTGTGGCTCAAAGTGGCTAAGGCCTCTGCCACATACACCTAAGGTGGCGGGTTCGAATCCAGCCCAGCCTGCCAAACAATGATGGCTGCAACCAAAAAATAGCCGGGCGTTGTGACGGGTGCCTGTGGTCCCAGCTACTCGGGAGGCTGAGGCAAGAGAATCACCTAAGCCCAGGAGTTGGAGGTTGCTGTGAGCTGTGACGCCACGGCACTCTACCGAGGGTGATAAAGTGAGACTGTCTCTACAAAAAAAAAAACAAAAAAACACTCACATCTGGCCACCCTAGGGGGAAAAGAATGTTTTCCTCACCCCTACTTAGTTCCAAATTTCCCAGGGAAGTATTCTGATAAGTCTAGCTGAGGTCACTTGCACATTCCACTCTGGCCAAAGGAGATGAGGTACAATGACCAGCTAGCTGCACCCCACAGTGTCCAGGCAAGTAAAATCATCTCAGAAGCCTGCAGTTTGGATCACACTTGGGAATGCAGGGTGGGAATGTTCTTGAGGGAAAGAGAATGGTGTTCTTAGAGCAAACCATGCTAGCATTTTCAGATGGACTATCTTAAATAACACTTTTAAACACAGCAATTTAAAAAAAGGTATTGTTATACTACAGATGAAGAAACTGAGCCTCGGATTAAGAATTTACCCAGGCTCGGCGCCTATAGTTCAACCGGCTAAGGCGCCAGCCAAGTACACCTAAGGTGGCGGGTTCGAATCCCCAGCCTGGACCCGCCAAACAACAATGACAGCTGCAACCAAAAAATAGCCGGGCGTGTGGCGGGCGCCTGTGGTCCCAGCTACTTGGGAGGCAGAGGCAGGAGACTCACTTGAGCCCAGGAGTTGGAGGTTGCTGTGAGCTGTAATGCCAC